AATCTGGTAGAAAGCCTTCCCAGAAGAGTGGAAGCTGTTATAGCTGCAAAGGAGGGACCAACTCCATATTAATGCCTATGACTTTAAAATGGGATGTGATAAAAGCTCCTGTAGGTGTAATGTGTCGGTGTTACAATACCCAATACACACACACACACACATACATATATATTGTAGATTTTTTTCAGATGGGAACCAAAGGGGGAAGGTTGATTTTCTCCTCTCTCTCAAAAATGAAAGCTTTAAGGACTGTTTATCTGATGGTGACAGTTTTGGTGGTCTATCAGGTCTGTCATGGCTGTCTTTTTATTGAACTACAGTTTTGGAGACTTCTATTTATTGACTTATTTTCCTTTGACTTTCTTGTTCCTTATGCAAGAGGATTATTTTACCTGCTTGGCTATAGAGAGATTTGATTCATGCAGACAAAAGTCTTACAGTCTTAGAGTCACAGAGAGTCCATTCCATGGTGATAATCTTAAACCCAGCAGCCTGAATGAATGGCATTTTTCTTGATTTGTCTTGCAGATTTCTACCTGCTGACACACTGTTCAGAGAAACATGCTCTGACTTGCAGAGCGAATATGAGTGTGTGAATGTGAGTGTGAGAGACCACTCATGCACAAAGAAGTGCTGGAGGAAGAAAGAGGGACAGAATGAATGAATGACTGAACAAATGACTTGGTTTTTTATTTCATACTCACACGATATTTCAAAACTGAATTGCCTGAGCTACAACAATATAGTGGCATTGTTTGTAAAATAACAACATATGATTTCATATTGAATAAATATGAGCAGTTACAGACTGTTTTCCATCACCAGCTTGTTTTTTTAAAGTCAACCTGATATCAGAATTGACCTTTTTTGACTGTAGTCTTCCATCAGAATGTAATGTCTTTGCCCCACATCTGAAACATCTTCTGATTGATTTTTCATTGCTGCATACGAGCATGTATGTAAAGATAAGCTGTGGCGCTCAACACAGTTGTATTCAGATCAGAAAACTGCAATATTGGTTTATAGTCATTACATAGTATTGAGTTTCCAGTTTATGCTAATCGAAACTAGACAGGTTGGAAATGACAATTAAGTTGCTGCTGTGCTTATGTTAGCTTGAACACACCACAAAAAAATGTATACCTCATCTACAAAATTACAAAGTAAATACCATTTCTGAATAAATCAAATGTATATATTTTTATAAATATATGTGAGTTGTGTGCTACAATTTCCCTTTTGAGACTTTTGCCAGTGTTATGTAGTGTCAAACCATGGTCAAAGCATGGAGCAAGTGTTTCTCTTTTGTACGTGTATCATCTCTACACCGTAAAAAATGAAAAGTCAGGTCATTTTTAAATTTTAAATCAACCTTTCTTCATAGCTTAATTTTCTTAGGTTAATACTTAGTATAGTTTACATTCCTCTTAAATCACATTTTTAGACTAGAAAACAATTTTAGTTTAGAAAAAAGTGAATGTCGTTGCTTTATTATAAGCTGAAATTGCTTAATTTTTTTCATATATTTTACTTAGTTCCTTCCTTAATTTGCTAGTTTCCATGCACAGACTATGACTCCCCCCTCACAGGGATGAGCTTTCTCTTCTCAGGCTTCAGACCACAGAGGGCTGAGGCAACTTGCTGTCTGATGAGTGGCTCAATATGTAATTACACAATTCATTTTTTAAACACTTTGCTAGTCTAGTTTATAAGGAGCAACTACATTCATTCCCTGAGTTTTGCTGAACTAAACTAAAGCCCATTTCACACTAGGTAATCTAGAACCACTCCACAATGCTTGTTCTTTAACACTGGACGCAACACACGCATCGCGAGGCAAAAGCAGTTTCTGTTTGTGTTGCATTTTCACGTAATTCAAATGTCAGCACTGTCCATTTACTGCTTAAAAAAATCTATGTAGATGATATAAAGACTGCTAGCTTTCTTACCGTGTGAGGTACAGCTATAGGAGGAGGGGGAGATTCATGTGGGTTCACCACATTAACTTACACAAGGGATTTCTGTCATCTTGGCAGAGTTAAAACTGCATTTATTGATTTGTTTAATAGCCTAGATTGTATATTATAGCATAAACACTGCATTTCTGCATTTCTGCATTTAAAATTCTCATTACAAATGGGATGGGTCATCAGCATCTGTCATGAATAAAGGAATGAAGAAAGGAAAGAATAAGTGACAGGCAGCAGAAGAAAGCCTGGGACTGGGTTGCCAGGTGCTGTCTACACTGCACGGAAACATTATTTACTCATCTTATTGAATAGATTGACAACAATGAGACAGTAATCATGTGTTCAGCACAGAAGTCCACTGACGGTCGATTCAGTGGGCAGTGCTGAGGGGATTTGGCTGCTAAAGTCTCAGTGTTTGTGTTTGTTTTTCAGGCAGGGAGCTGTGGGTGTTAATTCTGGGTCAGAATCCTAGACAGCACCGCACCGGCATTCCGGAATTCAAATACGTTGGCAACATGCATGGCAACGAGGTGAGTCACACTCACAGACACATACACACATTTGTTTTCATGCTTTGACAGGACCTGCGGTATCAAATGTTCTATATATCATTTTAGAAACCTTGTAACTCTCTTTTTTGCACCATATGAAAATAGCTGTCCTTCACATTTGTGGAATTATTTCATAAAGAACAGATCAATGATCCAAAATGACTTGCTTCATGAACATGTTTTTACATTAACACATGATATTAATGTACCAGGTTTTTATAATGATTGACTCCACATGATACCATGGAAAACCCCACAAGTTTAGTTAAGTCAGAATACAGAATGATTCAGAAAGTTCAGTGGATGCTATCCCAGTTATTGTCACCAAATGTACATCATAAAATTTGTCCAATGAGTTGAGACATTTTTGTGCATATAATGTCTTTTTACATCGTTTGGCTTTATGTCAGATATGTCAGTGTGAACACCAAAAAAAAAATAGCTTGATCTGAAATGTTTTATCATTTCCTGCTTTGGTCCAGACCAAGCGAGCCAAACTTCAGGTATAAACATCTGGCTACTATTTTAGGATAGATTTGTTACAGGACTGGATCAGGTTTATTCTTTTTTCCTTCCAATGTCTGATCTGGGATTCTCTGCTAATATCAGCCCAATAAAGATACCCATCAACATGATATGCCATCTCAAATCCTACTGTCATTCAAATGACATTATCATATACATCCACACAAACACGCACTTTTAGACACACACACACCTCATTTGTGGTCATAGTCCAGTGCTCTTCTCTGACCTCCAAGAAGTTTCTGGCTGTAACTTCTGCTTTGTCTTACAAACACAGAGTAAAACACAAATAAAAACTCTACCCCACCCCACCCCCCCACACACACACACGTATCCTTTAAAGCCAGAACACAAACCCCCACCCAGTCCAAATTTAGCCTCATTCAAAAAAAAAAACAAAAAAAAAAAACAAAACAAAGCCAAAAAAAAAGCACATGCAACACTGACACCACTGAGGTTGCATTGAAGGCATTTTTAAAATCTGTTTTGTCTCTTTTCTGTAGCGCGTCTCACTCTAGATACTAACCACAATGGTTTCCAGGAGTAATGAATACAGACACACGTTTGTTAAAGACATTTGTGTGTGTGTATATGTGTGTGTGTGTGTGTGTGCGTGTGTGTGTGTGTTTGTGTGTGTGTGTTTGCTCGTCTTGCTATCCTTGTGAGGACTACATGTCCTTACAATTAAAGGACAACATGACATTTTTGCTCTAGTGAAGACATTCTGCTTGTCCTAAATTGAGCCTGTGTTGTTTTCACCAGAAATCACTTTTTTTTTTGGGAAAAACTGAAAGAGCAGAAAAATTGCCTTCTGGATACTGAGGTTAAGATTTCTGTTAGGGTTAGGTGTAGTATTACTTGGCTAGAGTACTAAGAAATCAGTGGAAGTCCTCACTACTAATGTAAGACAAATGTGTGTGTTTGTGTGTTTGTGATAGCTTCCTTTTGTACATTTTCTGTTACAGAATGCCTTGTGTTTGCAGTAAAACTAGAGACACATCATGGTTTAGGCTTTAAAAATTAGCATTAGTTCATGTACAATACTGTACAAAAGTCAGAGACCACACTTCATTTATTTCGTTTAAGAGGCCAGAACCCACCAGAAGGTCCAAAGTTTTACTACAAGCTTCTACAGCCTAAGAATTACTCAATGAGTTTGCACTGTAGTTAAGCAGTTAATAGTAGTGGTGTCAAAGTTAACATGTTAATTACATGATAATAATAACAAGTTCTACTGATGGCTCTCTTGATAAAACTCAAATTAATTCCAGCTTCTGCAATGCCTTGAATTTGTTTATCACCATTTACAAGTAAAGCGCACTGCTGATGCCTACAGATAACTTTGTTATCTTGAGATCACAAGAGATGATAAACACATCCACACGTCAAAAAAGCATCAGAATGTCAGTTGCACATAGACGATGTTTAATTCTGTTACAGAGTTTCCATTCAAACGTTTCGCAAATGTTATGTTCATTTACAAAATTTCAGCAGAAAAAAAGGAAATTGTGTTTCCATCCACTACAGTTATGCAAAGACAGTTTAGATGAAGTAGGCCACCATGATTAGGGGCTGCATCGAAACAAGCAAGATGGAGAGATTTAACTTCTAACTTCTATTGCATTTCGTTGGCTCTGTACCTGTACTCTGCACAACGACAATAAAGTTGAATCTAATCTAATCTAATCTAACTTGGTTTTTGCCAAGTAGAATCATCTTGACCTGAAGTTAGTTTTTGTTTTCCCCACCTCGCTGCTCATTGACCTCTGCCTCTTCTCAGCCATGTATTATTGTTTTAGAGCCTTCCGCTTACTTCTTAGTATCAACCACGGGTTCTCAAAACCTTTTGTTCGATATTTTCTGTTGCAGATCTTGGTACATTTGTGTGTTTCATTGTTGTTTTCCATTCAGTGTTGCATTTATGTTGCTTTTGTTGAGTAACTCAAGAAAAGTGTTAGTCTCCTTATCAGTCCAAACGTACTGCACTGGACAGTCCTCTACTGCGTTTTTGGTCTGATCAAGTGGAAAGGAATGATGTGACTTATGGCTTGATATGTCATCGTTTATTAGAAAAACTCTTTTCCATCACCCTTTTTCACATTTTGGCTTAAGTTATATTCAACCTTTTCCATCTTATCCTGGGTGTTTGGGGGTTGGCTTTAGTCCACTTACGTGGTGCACACCAGGGTTTGGATGGTAACATTCTCATTTATTCTAGTGAACTGCACTATCAGAGCAATTGCACCAGGGTTTGTTTTAATTTCTTCATGAAAAAATAGCTAAGGAGCATTTAAGGCAAAAATGAATGATTAGGGTCAATCAATGCTCAAGATTTTTATATCAGTATTGGAATCAGAAAAGAAAAAGTGTTATTATGCTGCCTTTACTGAGAGTGTGGGCATGTGTGTATTTGTATCATTCCCAATAATTCATTATCATTAATCAAATGGTTCAAACTGAATACCGTTGTGTTAGCTCTACCCTAAACACATCTATTTCAACTCTCAGCAGGTGCTTCATGCCTTTTGTAGAATAGTAGGAGATGCGATGAATCACTGTTTAACTCACTTTGGGTACCAATTTATTTTGCCCCAAAATAGCTGAAGCACAAACATTTCAATTTGTCTGTTATTCTGAGATCACCAACACTGTGGAATTGTGTCTACATTAGTCTGAAGTACAAACATTCTAACATTGGTCTAATATTAACATTAGTCTAATCTTGCATGTCAAACAAGACTTGTTTACCATCATTTACGTAAACACAAACAAATAACAGTATACACATCAACACTGGCATGATGAAACTGGGTGTGGTAGACAGAAACTACTACTTCACTTCTTACGTTTGAATAGCCACACAGAACAGTTAATGATGCATGAATGGCTGTGAAAAAGAGGATACGGTTAGGAGAAGAAAAAGTAACTAAGGAAACCCTTTCGTTCATTTAACCTTCAGTCAAAACAGACTTTAGTTACAAGATATTCATTTTTCAGCATCAGGAAAAAAGTAGAAAACATACATCAAATAGGAAATCACACAGAAGCCTCAACAACTAAATATAAGATCAAATTTTTCAGTATGAATTGTGTTCACTCACTGCAGTTATTTCAGCTTCCATTCTTTTTAGAAGATTTGCTTTCGGTTTTTAAAGAAATCTGCAGGGATATTTTTTCACACCTCCCAAGTTCAGTCTTAGAAGGTGCTAACATTTTTTGGTTCTCACAATCCAAGTAATTACAATTGCAAATTTAGGCTCATCAGTCTGAAGAACCTTACTCCACATCTTAGATGTCCAGTTTTGGTCTTCTAGTGCAAATGTTCTTTTTTTGTCTATTTTCTTTTCTCAGTAATAGTATTGAGTTGTCTTCTCATAGTGGAAGGATGGACAGAAACAACTGTGGATTTTGTCAGTTTTAGTGGTCTACAAGGTCTTGTATGGTTGTTAGGAGTCCCATTTTATCTATATGTTTTGGAAACCTCTGTTTTTTTGTTTTTCCATTTAATTTCTTTTGACATTCCTCTTCCTTATGAAAGTGAATTATCGTATTATTATACGTATTACACGAATTATCGTATCGTATAATCGTATGGACGATTCTACTGAAGTAAAAAAAAAGTCTTGAGATTTTAATATTTAAAAGGGATTATGTTTAATTTTATATTTTTATATAATTTATTATATATATTTAAATGTTTCTTTATGAAGTTCAATTTTTGATTAAAAAATCTTTAAATTCAAACATGCTGTCCCACATTTTCATGTCACTACCGAAACACAAAGAGTTTTAGTCCATGGGCGGAGCCTCATTTTAGCTATACCACTGCATTTTATAGCTGGAAGTGAGACTGCATCCCTGTCCCTCATGGCCACATGTTGAGCAGTTAGATCCCACTGTTTTGAAGTAAATGCATCTGAAAATCAGTGTGCGAATTTAAAATTTGTCAATATCACAAAAACACATTTATTTGCAATTAAGTAAGTTTTTTTGTGTTTTAATGAAAATATTATGATTTTTTTGTGTCTGCAGCTGTTCATAGCTGCGTTTGCTCATGTACATTGAAAGATTTATAAGTTTTAGAAGCATTATTGTTGTATTGGTAATGACAAAATGGAATGTTCAATCATTTGTTTTAACAAAATCAACATAATTAAATTATAGAGTCATTCAAAGCAAAAGAATTTTTGTCTAAAGTCCAAATAAGTTAAAAGTCTGACATGTGTTTTGAACCCTGACTTTGAACCAATTCAGTAAAATGATCCATATCTAATCTTGTCAAAAAGATCTCATTAAGCCGTTGTAAAAGCACATGAAACAAAATTTACGAGGCAGCTGAATATGTTTGGGTAGTTGCTTGTATAAATGTTAGCGTCCCTTTAAAGGGGAACATGATGTCAGTGACTCCCTTGAGACATCTTTTGTTGGGAGGAGTCCGTTCAATATGACTGTAT